CTGCACGGCCGAGGATCTACTACGTCGAGCAAAAGCCCTAATCACTTAGAAAAAATACAAAAATATAAAGCATATATTGAACATACAACAACACACACAAAATACGAATATATCAAATGATAAAACCATGAATTAGGACGGGCAAAGCCCCTTGTTCAAATGTTACAATCAAAGCCCATGACACGCAAGCCGGGCAAAGTCAAGTCAAAACTGCGACACACATGCCAAACTAAACAAGAATTCAAATGGCACGTAGGCCAAAAAACGAAAAATAACTAAACAACAACTTCATCGTCAGGTCGAGGCCCTCCATCGCTCTGACCAGCTTCATCGTCGGCCATCTCGGGAGCGACCATCCACCACCAGGTGGTATGGGATAATCCCTTCGAGGAGAAGCTGGACCTCAGGGTTCACAACCTAGAGCTGCTCCAAGGCACCATTAAACCCCACCTCAAGAGCTCCCAAGCAATCCTGCTCGAGTTCCCAAATCCGGACGACCAGGGAACTACGAGAGGTGAGGGCTTTCTTCTCATCAGTTTCGTCCTCGTCAGGCTTGGCAGCAGTCTCCAAATCAGCGACCTTGGTCTGAAGTCGATCCTTTTCCCCCTCGACCTCCTTCAGCGTTCTCGCATCGCGGTCATCTTATGGAGGAGGCGCACATGGTTTTCGTACCCCGTTTGAGCTTCAAGGAGGTCGTTCTCCGCCTTATTTTTCTCCTCCCAAAGGGTAGCGTTCTTGACCTACAACTTTTTAAGCTTGGAGTTCGTGTTGGTTTCGTCATTAAGAACCAAGTTCATTTCAAATATCCTCACTATAGAAGCCATGTCCTCTGACAAAGCTGTCTTCCTGGACGCCCTGTCGAGCCCCATGATCGCCTTGCTCTCCGCCTCAGACATAGTTGAAGAATTGTCCTTGCGGAAGTAAGCGCGATTGAGGTAGCAAGAAGGCAACATAAAATTCTCCCTATACTCGCCCTCAGAAGGACCGACAAGTATGGGGTCTTCAGTACGCCATTTTTTGGATGACGTTTCATGCGAAGGAGGAGATTGACTGCATTACAGGGAGAAGGAACTGCCAGCTGGTTGGTCAGGCTTCAACATTAGCTAAACTTGAGAGACTCTGCCCTTAGAGGCCTTATTCGCACCCTTGGTTGTGGCGAGCTTCAACACACGCTCCTGGATGTCCGACATCTGACCTACAATAAAGAAAAAGGAAGATAAGTCAATACAATGAAGGAAAACGAACAAGAGAAAGCAAAGAAAACACCCACTACCTATGAACCTCAAGGCTACCTCGTCGGACCCACGCTCGAGGAGGGCCTTGGTATTAATCAATCGAGGCTCACGGTAAACCTCCCCGCACTCATCCAGAATAAAATTGTCGTCCTTGCTGACGCATTTGACAGGAACAAAGCCGAAGACAAACTCGACTGTCTTTTCATAAGAAATTCGATCGTTGACATCCAAGTCGGCATGTTTGACGATGTAACTGTCTGTGCCCTGCTTGAACTGCTCCTCCTCCCACTCGAGGGGAAACTTCGACTCTAGCGTATCCTCTCACTGCCCATCCTCCTTTTTGACCACGAGGTCATATAAGGAGTCGATGGCCACATGCGTTATAGGATTCAAAACAAAGTACCCGTCCTTAAAAGAATAGACAAAATCCATATAGGCTCAAAATAGCTTCCTCGTCTGCTTCAGGGACACCCAGTTGTGCCGACCTTAGAAGGTTTGCCGTTGCAGATGAAAAATGTAAAAGAATAAGGGAAGCGTGGCTCCAATACAAATGTGTCGGCACACGAGTTTGAATGATCGTACGAACGTGATCGTGTTGGGGTGGAGTTGCAAGGGCGACAGATGCAACCACTGAAACACTCCTTTTTGAAAGTCACTAAAGGGCAGGCGGAACCCTGCTTCCCGAAACACAAACTCATACATAGGGAACCTCATCCTCTTGAAATACGAGCAGAAGTGGTGCTTCTCCTTGGGCTTATAGACCATTCGATTTGGGGGATAGCCCACAACAAGATCCTCGACAAATGCGAATGCGTTAGTGTCGTCAACAACGAAGCACAACGAGATGCCTAAAGGCTCTTGCCCAACCCAGTCTTCGGGTGTGTGAGCTCGCTCAGCTCCAGCTTGCTCGACTTGGGTGTCAGACTCGGGTCCATCATCGATCATGATAACACCTTCTATCCTCGTGGCCATTTTACCTGAAAAGCATAGGAAAATGGTGAATTCGACATCTAAGATCAAATCCACTCTTCCACCACAAATCAAGTGAAAGGGCAAAGAGATGGGCGTTGAGCCACTTGATAAACTCTCTCCGAAGCAAAATAACGACCCTTCATCCTCGACAGAAAGGATCGTCTGCGAGGAGAATATCCCTGACACGAGACAACGAGCCTCCTTTCTCGACAGAAAGGCTCGTCTATAAGGAGCACCTCCTCGACGAAATACGGCGAGCCTCTCTTCCCGACGGAAAGGCTCCTCGACGTATGAGCTTCCTCTAGTGGAACGCGGGGAGCCTCCTCGAACCTCCCTGATGAGAGGCTTCCCCGCGATGTTCGCACAGTCAAGAGAAGCAAGGCTCCCTGGGACCTCCATCGTAGATCCCCGAGACCTTCATCGGAAACTTCACGGAGTTTCCCAGAATCCTCATGAACTTCCTGACGACTTCATCAGAAACTTCATAGGAGCGCCGAAAACTTCATGAGGTCGCCGAAAACTTCATGAATACCGCCGAAATCTTCATGTGTTCCTCGAGAACTTTATGAGCTCCCCAAAGGAACTGCCAGAAAATGCATAAAATTGCCGAAAAATTCATAAAAACTGAAGATAAGACCGAAGACTTACTTGATGAATGCAGATACTAGACGATGGATAAAGATTGACGGCAGTAATGACAATGCACGTTCTTTAGAGAACAAAGAGAACTTTGAGAGACTTGGGAAAACTCTTAAGCAAAATAAAGGGGAACGCGCAAATGAAGCAAGCTTTCCCCTATTTATAACCTTAGCACGGAAAACAAAGCATCACCAGACACTCAAGTGCCCCTACTCGTAGTCGTCCTAGACATTCATTGCTCTTGACACGTGGCCCTAGAACACACTGCGCACGTCCTTTCAACTCCCTCTCTTGCTCGAGGCAAGAGTTGCCCATTTCCTTTCCATTTTGTCACATCGACGACCACATCACCACTGAGGACATATCCCCGGGGGAACGGGAAAAAAAATCAGGACTACGTATGGCGGACAGGCCTCCCCGCAAGCTCCTGTCCGGTCGAGCAAGTTCCTTATCTTGGCCACACGTTTTGTCCCCGAGTCCAGTTTTTCGAACACGTGCGATACTCCTCCAGGCAGGTCCTCGACGTTTGAACTGACTCCTAAGTCATTACTCCTCTGCTTAGAAGTAATGACTTATGGGGTTCATGTTCTGGATCGGGCCAGAGGCTGACCCACCGTCGGGCACGACCCAACCCAGCTCCCTATCGGGGAGGGTCCAATGAAGGCCCAATCCTCCAACGCCTACAAGGAGTTCTCACATGTCTCCCACACGGTCTCCACATGTCCCACGCGGGGACACATCAACAGACAACTACCCACCTTCTGAGAATCACGGGGCAGTTGACCCAGGGCGAAGACCACGTGCTGGTCTTCTCTTCGCCACGTAAGCCCTGACAGTTACTCGTATTGGGCCTTATAATCCAATCCAGTGCAAAGTAACCGTTGGTCCAACATTGCGGGCACATTATAAATACCCTCTTTCACTAGAGGGTCAGGTAGTCAATACTCTAGATACTTTCTCTGTACTTACTTTTTCTACTCCGTCTCTTACTTTGCCATCAAAGTACCTTGCAGGTACACCCCATCGTCTTCTCCACCACTGGCGAATTAAGAAGCTCACAACGTGTTGCTGGCTGCTGATCCTTTTCTGATTCATAATTAAATATTAGTTTGCAAAAGAAAATGTTTCATTCAAAATTTTAGTTATCAAAAATTTGTTGCTTCTGAAAATATATTTCTGGAAATTTTCTGGAGATATATTTCTGAAATAAATTTAATCATAAAAATTGAGGTGTAACTAAAAAACGAATAAAATGTATATTTTAAAATGCAATTGAAAATATATCTCCAAAAAAAAAATATTTTTAAAAATCTACATAATATTTAAAAAACACATATGATACAATAAAAAATCCTTTAATAATTTTTGAATCTATATTACAAATGTGTTTTTTTTTACTAAATCATAAAAAAACTCAAGATCTGCTAGGGCAGATCCGTTTAGGGCCGGATAACTCTTTCGAAGCGAATATAAAATGAATTCACGTGGCTTTAAGTTTTTATTGGATTCTGAAGTAAGATTAATTTACCGTACATCATAATTAAACTCTTTTCTAAAAATTAAACTAAAAAATACATTTCATATCGAGTCAAAAGTTGTTTTGAATAAACTTCCAACACTGCATTCTTTCTACCTCAATTGTTCCAATTCCATTTTCTCTCTCACGCGGCGCGATCTTCGTGTCTTCTCTCTGCGAGCGTCAACAACCCTAGATCTCTCAATCGCGACATTCAACACAGCACAATCTCTATAATCATCGGTAAAAACCCTAATTGTTGTATGTCTCCTTTGTTTTTCACAGGTCTTTTGCATGCTGATTGAAAATTTGATTTTCCTATTAGGATTATAATTTTCTGGTTAAAATCGTTTTTGATGATTGCTTGATTGATTGATTTGGGAATTTTACATTAATTTGTGAAATTGGCTATAGAGGTAATGGATTTGTTGTGTGTGTAAAGGGAGGATTTGGAAGACGGTATGTATGTTGTATTTGAGGATTACATTCGAATTGGGAGGGAAAGAAGGTCCAAAAATCACGGGAGTTATTGGTTGTTGGTTTATGGTAGATAACTCTATCTGTTTCTGCATATATTACAGGGGAGAAAGGTTTTGAGATCAATTTTGCTTCCAGGGGGACTATTGCTGGGCAAAGAAATGGATCCTGGTCGCTATGCACTGCATCAAGGCTGGGATAATAACAGCGTAATTGTGGTTTCCTCCTTAGTAAATAAATTCACCTATGTGATGTGGGGATGATTATTCAAAGAAAACTATTAGGGTCCATCCTTAGAGAATTATGAAAGAAAGCTACCCGTGGGGGAAGTGAGGATAAGGACTCCATTTGCCTAACCTCGTCTCATCATTCATTATTTGTTGCTGACATAACTTATTGTCTTGAATCCACAGGCTCTGGAGGGTTATGGTGCGGTACATGAGCCAAATTTTCGGTGAGTGCAATGCTGCTTCCTGCTTACTTATTATCACTCCTATGGTAATAACCCATGGGTAAAACTCTGCTTTTTCAAGTTTATGTTTCATTTTCTAATATAAAACGATTGTAGTTAGATGGTAGTGTATTGTGGATCTCTTGACTCGAGTATGTGATTGAACTATTGAGATAAACCTTTCTTTTTCAATGATGTTTGTTTAGAATTAGGAGGACAGGATATTCATTTTGATTCACAGTGTCAGTTTATTTTCTTTCCTCCCATTTTACCCATTTTTTGGCAGGGTCGGCGACTCTTATGATGAAAGAAGGTTTATAGATGAACGATATCCTAGGGATGCTGTATACCAGAGAAATAATTTCCATCGTGATGTTTTGGACCGAGATGCCTATTTGCCACCAGGACCTGCTGTTGGTCAATGGAGTCAATCCAAGCGGAGGGGTTATGATGAAGATTATCCCCTTGAAAGGGAATCTAGACGCTTTCAGAGACCTTACCACGAACCATACAATCAAATGGATGGTTTCAGGGATCGTGAGATTGACATTTACCCGGAGTATGCTAAGTTTCGAGACGGTTATACCAACATTGAAAACTATGGTGATCGAGGATATGACAAACCTGCTAGGTTTGCAGGGCATGACCGTGATGATTATGCTTATGATGATTATGGCCACAAGTCCCGTGTTTCACATCATCGAAGGGAGGATAGCCATGAGAGGGATTATGATCATGGTCGGCATAGTTATGATTCTGATTATGAAAGAGATGGCAGAAAAGATAGTAATTGGAGGCGACGTGAATCACGCGATCGAGAACGAGACAAGAGATGTCTTAGTAGGGAAAAAGATCCAAGTCCCCAAAGGAAACACGAGCATTCTCGATCGCGTTCACGATCCCATTCTCGCTCCCGATCACACTCACGTTCTCATTCTCACTCTCGCTCCCGTTCCCAATCTCGTGGTTATGATGATAATCCAAAATCTAGGTCTCCTCGAGGTCGAAGCCATAGTCGGAGTTATCGGGAAGACAGCTATGTTGATAACCGATATGATAGAAGTGAAAGACGCAGGGACCGTGATGATAAACGTCAGCGGGAACATTATTCTGTGGTATGTGTTGAATGGTGCTTTTCTTTTTTAGGTGATTACCTCACCACTGCTGGGTAATTTGATGTGAATGCTATTTTCCAGGCACCATCTGCAACTATTGTTGTGAAAGGTCTTTCACAGAAGACGACTGAAGAAGATCTATACCAAATTCTTGTACGTTCTCTACATAATTTCTTTTGTTAAGCATCTCATTTACTTCTTCATGTTTAAATTGTCTTCTGACATAATCATTTATATATGTTCAGGCGGAATGGGGTCCCCTTCGTCATGTCCGTGTCATAAAGGAGAGGCATTCTGGCATCTCCCGTGGATTTGCATTTATTGATTTTCCTTCTGTGGTATTTATCCTTTTGATTTTTCAATATTGTATATTTTGGTTTCAAGATGTTATACTAAGATTGATATTATGGATTAGGAAGCTGCACAAGGAATGATGGACAAGCTAGGAGATGATGGTCTTGTTGTGGATGGCAGAAAACTTTTCTTCGAATATAGGTAGTTTTATTCATAGAGCCTTGTTAACTAAGTATTTTTAGGTTAGTTATATTCAGACGCTTTTAAGACCCGTTCTTTCAAGTTTATAATTACAGTTCTGTGCTATATATATTGTTGCAGTAGCAAGCCAACAGGAAGTGCAGGTCCAGACGGAGCTATGAAATCAGGTCATATTCATAAGAGCATTACAGTATCATCTGATTGGATGTGCACTATATGTAGCTACATCAATTTTGCACGCCGGACTTCTTGCTATCAGGTTCATATTCTATCATCAATTTTGCATCTGTGTTTCCATTCTTGAATCAGTCTTTCATCAACTTTGCATCTGTGTTGCTATTATTGTACCAATATTTTTTCACTATGCCTATTTCTGTGGATTATCATGTCTAAATTGGTTGGGGCATTGTGCCATTTTTCAATTGAGTTAAGTGTATCCATTACATGTGTATATGAACTGGTTCCAATTTTGCGCTCATTGGTGCAGTGTAATGAACCTCGCACTGAAGATGCTCCTGCAGCAGACATTGCTTTATCGAATTCCTCATCCTTGGGAAAGAAAGCTTTGGAGGCAGGTTAGTATAACTGCTTTATCCAACAGACTGTTTATTTATGTTCTGCAATTAATAAGTTTGCATCTAATTAGGTCCAACTCATGTATTGGTTGTCCGTGGATTGGATGAAAATGCGGATGAGGAAATGCTCCGCTACGAGTTTTCCAAACATGCTCCAATCAAGGTTTAATAAAATATTTGTGCAAACTAATTTATCTTTTTTACTTGGAGCAGGGGTTGTTCTCGATTGTTTTGCCATTTATGTGCTTAAAAATGTTGTGTTATCAATTACAGGATCTACGTCTTGTGAGAGACAAGTTTACTCATGTTTCGAGGGGATTTGCATTTGTACATTTTTATTCGGTAGGTACATCTTATTCTAATGTTTGAGCAATTGTTATTGGCATATTGCATATATTTGTTCTCCTTTTAGTTTTTTGGTCTGATGTTTATAATTATAACGTATACGTTTTTCCTATCTTATATCATTGTTTGGTTAAAGGAAGGGTGTGCTTTAAATCATTTGGTAATCTCTTGTTTCTAATATTATCTAGTGTATTTGTACTTGTGAAAGGGTTTGAAGGGTGAATGCATACTCAGTTTTGGTAGATATTGTTTATCTATTCGATGGAAAATTTAACATGACCTGTATTTGAAGGAATTCTTCCAGTGTTGCTGCTTAGATATTACTTTGATAGTTATATTTGTTTATATCTATTAATTACTAATAGCTTTCTATTGCCAGTCGAAGTCATTTGGGGGTGACGTGTCTGTTGCACTCTTTTGTGTAAGTTTTTTAATCAGTATTTTCATTATATGTACTTATTTGTAGGTAGAGGATGCTACCAAAGCTCTTGACTTAACAAATGGAACAGCCCTTGAGAAGAATGGACAGATTCTAAGAGTAGCGTATGCAAAAAGCATACTGGGCCCTGGATCAGGAGCATCGGGAACTTCACAATCAAGCAGTCTTGCAGCTGCAGCTATTGAGGCTGCAACATTTTCCCAGCAGGTATTTTATTCGTTTTCAAATTATTGTAGTTATGGAGTTTTAGATATGAAGATGAACTTCAAATTATTCGTTTTCAAATTAAAGCTTGAATATTATTGATAATAGTTTGATAGTAAGTTGATACAAAAGACAAATATTAATTCCTATTTATAGGGATAAATAGACACCGTCCTAAGTAATGCAAAATCTAATCCTAAGAGATACTTTAATATAATCTTAAATTATATAAAAAAATTTAACATTTTAATATTCTAACATGTATACATGATGAATTTGTTTCATAGTTTATGTAATGTTAAAGACATTATGTATTGTTGCAGACTTGCAGTTAAATACTGTCAATTTCAAATAATTTCATGCATTTTAGCCATGCTGTTGTTTGTGTTTCCTGTAGAGCAGTGATTTTGTGTTAACTTCCTGACTTGGTTGATGAACAAAGTAAGTTATAATAACTAGAGGCAATCTGGTGGAAAATAACTGAGACTCTACCTAGACGTTTTCTAGAGGAAGACATTGTAAAGCCTTAGAATAAATAGCCGCTTCATAAGAAATGTGTTAGGAAAGACTTAAATATGGTTTGAAAAACGTGAGAAACATGAAGAGTTATTTCAATTTTTTAAGCAGGAAACTAAATAATGCATTATTGTAGAGATCAGTTATCTTATAAGTAAAACATTGCTGTAATGTTTTGGTCAAATTACTTCGTAATTTGCATACAAAGCTTTTGTTATTCTTACTATTCTGTTTGACGGAGGAAAAAGGTGATATGTGAAACAATATAGTATTAAACTAGTTTAAAATATAATCTTATAAAATCTTAACATAATGGCAACCTTCTTTAATCAATAGAAGTGAAATATTTTGTATCTGGTTTTCTAATTTGACATACAGTCTCTAGGTCATTTATTTTTCTCGTGTTCTTGGAGCTTCTCCATATCTGTACTTTTACAATCAATATGGAAATTCCCACTAGAGTTGTTTCTGATCTAATTAAATACGCCACATTATTATACATTTCTTAATGAGTCGGCGTTCCTAATTATAGTACTGATATATCATTAAGTTGTCATACATGTGATAAATGTCTTGTGCTTTTCTCTTATCTTCAGTATGATTCTGTCGGATGGGCTCCCAAAGAATACAATCCAGATGACAAACAATCTAATGGTGCTGAGCAGACTGGTACTGATGCTGGTGCTCCACAATCAGGCTTCATTTGGGATGAAGCATCTGGTTATTACTATGATGCTACTTCTGGGTTTTATTATGATGGGAATACTGGTATGTTTCTTGGTTGAGTTGATCCAAAAAGCTTGTTAAAACTTTCCTAAAACACTTTGAGGCTTGTATTAACTATCATGTATTTCTGAAGTTGTTCCATTTAACTTTAGATATTTAAGACCTCTTTCTTTATTTGGATATTTTTTTTTGGAATGAGCCAAAGCTCTAAAGCAAGTTTCTTGAGTACCCAAAACATCAATCTTGGTTCTTCACTTATAATTGGTTTAGGAGTGCCAGTAATTTTCATGTTTCTTTTTTTTTTCTTCATTCACTCCTTTTTATTTTCTCATATAATTGGGTTTTGTTAGAAAGCAGGAGCCTGCTGAATTTTGCAGAACTCCCTGTATGTGCAATTTGTGTGCACACACTCACAATACATGCTAGTACTATTCTCTGAAAAAGTTTGCATATTGGGCCTATTTTTTTTACCTGCATACTTGATACTTGAAACACTGATATACATGTTGAAATGTTATTTTGTTTTCTCTTTTATTATTTTTTCATATTCTGCATTGTTTGTGACCTAGGTCTTTACTATGATGGTAATAATGGGATTTGGTATTCATATGACCACCATACTCAGCAGTATATCCCTTGCACTGATCAAAATCAGAATAAATCATCTAATAACGAGTCTGAACCTTCTAAGGCACCTGATGCTTCAAGCACTAAAAAAGTAGTGATTTCTGCACCAGCTACTACTGTTACTTCAAATGAGAAGCCAGCTTCACTGGCAGATGCTGTCCAGGCTGCTGCTGCAGCTGCTTTAGCTGCAGAGAAGAAAGAGAAAGAAAAATCGAAAGAGATAAAACTTGCTTCAAAAAACAGTATTCTGGCAAATAAGAAAAAAATTAGCAATGTGCTGACAATGTGGAAGCAGAGGAGTCATGAGGGACAAGCTACTCGAGTGGCACTGGAGGAAAATCAGTTATCTGGTTCTGTTGAGGATAAGTCATATTCTTCTGCACAATCTGCGAAGAACAAGTTAAAAACCGAGACAGCACCAAGGGAAATTAATGCGTCTAATCTGGGTGGTCACGCAACTGCACAGGTTGCTGCTATTGACTCTCAACCACAGCCACGGCCCTTCAGTAATAGCCTTGGGGGCACTCTGATGGGGGTTATAAGGGGCTCAGGACGAGGGATTGTTAAATCAGATACTTCTTATTCAGGCTCTACGTCTGCCACACCATTTATGTCCGGTTCTTCAGCAAATGTTGATGCCCAGACATTTGCTACTCCTTTTAAAACAGACGTGTCTTCCCTGGGTTCATATACACAATCCGCGTCTGTTGGAAGTGGACGAAGAAGGTTCTCAGAAATGCCACTCTCTGCTTCAACTCATAAGGAACAATCTCAAACAACAACCTACAGGGACCGGGCAGCTGAGAGAAGAAGTTTGTATGGCTCATCATCTTCAGTTGGCAATGATTTGTCTGACCTTGAAATTGGGGATTCAAGTAAGATTGCTTAATTTGTGTAGGGTTTCTTTTCTTGAGTTAAAGTATTTTAAAAATTTGCTGAGGTGTACAGGAAATATTTGTTTCAGTTATTAGTTGTTCATAGTTAAAAAATTGTCTGTTGCCTGATGAAAAGGCTTGTTGGATAGAGAAAGCTTTAGTTTCGCATTAGGTTTTCAGTACTATTAAGTTTAATTATTGTAGAGATCTTTATGGTAGAAAAATCAAATGGTTTTCTGTCTAATTAATGTTTTATCTCCCCGTCTCTTTTCCTATAGTTGTAGGTTTATGGATTTATGAAGAAAAAAAATAGAAGTAGCTATTTTTTCTGCTGAATCCCGAATTTTACATGCTGAATGCAAGTTCTGAATACCCAAATAGTAGGTTTGCAAACCAAGAGGTTTGCTGGTATATTTTCAGCTCAGATGTGTATATTGACTTTTGAGAAAACATTTTGTTTCTATCAATTGTGTCCTTGAAGCTCGAGATTTTGCATCAAGGAGGGGTGACACAATGCCATTCCCTCCTGGGGTTGGTGGAGGACGCACGGTTGGAGATGTCAACCTCGATACCTTTGAGGTGATTACGGCAGATAAAGCGATTGATGAAAACAATGTTGGTAATCGGATGCTTCGCAACATGGGATGGCAGGAAGGCTTGGTATCAATTCATTCCCTCTACTAAATGAGTTTTTTAAATTTATATTGGAGTTGTTTGGTGGAGAGCTTGAATGATCCTTTGTTTACATTTGCAATCAGCTCCAGCTTTTAAAATTTTCTATTTTTGGGGCTGTGCTTGAGTAATGTGATTAAATCCTAGAAGTAGAATTTCCTTTTTCTTCAAGAAACACGCCCCAATAATTTGGACTGGATAATCTCGGACATATCGTGTTCTCTCAAATTATATTCTGAATGATTCTAACATTTTCAAAATATTTTTTGTTTCTTGTACTATGGATAATTTGATGCACAGGGACTAGGAAAAGATGGAAGTGGAATGATAGAGCCTGTCCAGACACAAGCCATGGAAAATAGAGCAGGGCTAGGTAGTCAGCAGAAAAAGTTGGATCCTAGCCTCGAGGTTCAAGCCGGTGATAGCTATAAGATGCTTATTCATAAAAAAGCACTTGCCAGGTTTCGAGAAATGTAATACTCAATTGAGGTTTGAGCCCAGATTCTAGGATTTTAGCTTTTGAAAATATAGTTTTTAGGCGACATTTGACATATATTTATAAGTTAATACTAGTTTGCCATGACTTGAATTTCAAATTTTCATTTTTGAAATTTAGTTCACATTTTCATTCATGCTAAAACTATCTACTAAAAATTATACTTGAATTTCTCGTGATCTTTGCCTTGTTTGAACACCGAAGATATGTTGGGCTGTCCGGAAAAATAGAGAAATCTTTTCATTTTTTGAGACGATATTTTTGTAGAACAGATTATATATTATTGCCATGTTTATTATTAATATATTATTAGGCAATGTTTTTTCCATGTTTATTATTAATTTTTAAAATATTATAACAGATTATATTAATTTTTCCATGTTTTTTTCCTTCCAAATCTCACTTTTAATACATTTTTTGAGTTTCTATGAACTAGGAGAATTTTGTGGAAATGTAATATATTGACAAATTTCAGATTATAATTTGCACTTTAACTAAAAGTGATTTCAAGTGAGATCATTCTAATTTCAAAATTATTGATTAGAGATTCTTAGGAAATAAATAACTATTATTGTATGAACATTTTTTGAAATTATAAAAAATTTGTATCAAAATGAATGTTTTGCAATATAAGGAATCATTAATATGTATTATTATATTTGTTAATTATTTAAATTTATCTTTTCTACAATTAATGAAACATAATGTTGTAAATTTTTTCATAATTTCTCTTTTTTATAAAATAATGATTATTTGTTTTAATACGTGTGAAAGAAAGTTCGAAGTTTCTTGGAGCCACCTCTACATATTTTTATAATGGTAAAAATATTTTGTTTCTTGCAGCCACCTACCTATACATATTTTTATAATGGTAAAAATATCTTGTCATAACTAAAAAAAGAGAATGAAAAATTCGGTATGTTTTATAATTTTTTTTTGTTTTTTTGAAAAATTTGATAGTTTATTTAATAGAAAAAAATAGAAATTAATACATTCAAAAGTTTTGAAGAATATAGTAGTTTATTTTGAAAATTTTGGTAAAAATTTATAATTTTTTTTGAAGATTTTGTAATATATTTTAAAAAATTTGTTAAAAATTTATACTTTTGAAAAAATTTGATAGTATATTTAAAAGATCCGGTAAAGATTCATTGATTTTTTGGAAAATTAGGTAAAATTTCATTTTTTTTTTGAAAAATTTGATAAAAATTTCAGATTTTTTTTTTTAAATCTGATAAAAACTAATAATTTACGAAAAATCCGATAAAAATTTAGAAATTTTAAAAGTAAATTTAAATCCAATCGCTTAAAAAATCCTTTTAAGATTTCATAGATACTGCAAAAATTAGGTAATAGTTTGTAAAATTCTTCAAAAATCCAATAAAAAAATCAAAAACTTAAAAAAATTTGAAAAAAACACAATTTTTTAAATACATAAAAAACCAGAAAAGGTATTATGATAAAAACATAAGTGTGGAATGACAAATAAATTTTGGGAGATAGTAGACAAGTAGGGCTGGAAATGAGTCGAGTCGAGTCGAACTCACCTCAGCTCGGCTCGACTCATTAAGAATTTTTCGAGTTCGAGTTCGAGTTCGAGTTCAACACGAACTTTTTTTTAAGCTCAAACTCGACTCGTTATGAATTGTTTCGAGTTCGAGTTCGAGTTCGAGTTCAACACGAACTTTTTTTTAAGTTCAAACTCGACTTGTTATAAGTTCACGAACAGTTTGGTTCAACTCATTAGGATCAGCTCACATGATTCACGGGCTTAAAAACTATTTTTTTAATATATATATATTTTAGTATATTTGACATTTTAAATAAATATATTTTTTTTAAAATAAAATATTAAAATAAAATAAAAATTATCATATTGAAATTTAACTTTATCTTCGAAATCTACTAATTCAAAACTTACACAACTTTCAAGAGATACATTTGAGAGTCTAATTCAAAAACTACTAAGTTGAAGATTAAATTTGTCTAAGATTTAGATTAAATATTTAAACCTAATCTTAAAGACAGTATAATTATTCTCATATGTAATCGAGTTAACTCATGAACCTAACGAGTCGAACTATGTAGAGTTCAAGTTCAGCTCATTTAGTTAACGAACTTAATTTTTCGCTCATACTCAACTCATTAGGTTCATGAACCTAGTTCAACGATCTAATTGTCGAATCGAATTTCGAACTATTTTCGAGTTGGTTCGGTTCATTGCCAGCCCTATAGACAAGAGAATTTGACTTATACATAACACACCTCTTATTTTCAAAATTCTAAAAATATCTTTGCTATTATTTTTTTTCAAAACATTTTCTCTTACTAACATAACAAAAATAAAATTTTCAATACGTTTTCTTTTTTCGCATTTTTAGAAATTCTCATTTATACCGGAAATTTTAAAAAAATTGATAGAAGTATTAGAAATTTCAAAAAATCTGTTAAAAAAAATCGAAATTTTTTAAAAATTTGATATTTTCCTGAAAAATCGTAAACCCATATTGAAAATTACCAAAAAATTCGGAGAAAAACAAAAACTTCCGCATACTTAAAATTTTCCGTTAACTTTACATAAAAAAAACTGTAAATTTTTAAAATTTCTATACAAACTGAAAAGTTTCGATAAAAATCTATAAATTTCTAAAATTTCTGAAGCTCATCTAAAGATATAATGATAAAATTGCTCTAAATAAAAGATATCGGATGATAAAATTGCTCTAAATAAAAGATATCAGATATAAGTAAGGGGTGTCAAATTTTTTTTGTTTTTGTAAGCAAGGATTTCAATATAAGAGTAATTAGGAGTACTTTAACCCGATTACAAAAGGACAAAAACAACCCGAAAAAACCAACCAGGAGAGATTAAACCAATTAGAACTTATCCAAGAAAATACAAATGATCATTGCAAAAACTGTAAAAGTTACAATTGGACTACATAATACCTCCAATTGATTACCACCTCCAAACCAAGATTTTGATGTTCCAAATGAGATCCGAAATATTGCAAGGTTCGTTTCTGAAAATCATAGTGTTCCTCACCTTCCATAAGCTCCACGACACAGAAAACCACACCGCTCCGATCTTCTCAACTTTCACCTTCTTCTTTTTGGCAAACAACACCCAAGAATAGAAGTTACTACGTACATCCGCATCGATGCCACAGTCGTAGTCAACGCATTCCGAAACAGCCTGCCAAGCCATCTTAGAAATACAACAATGGAAAAGGATATGCGAGATAAATTCAATAACAATATTGCAAAACAAACAAGATAATTGATCGGGTGGTAAAACTCCTCTATGCCAAAGGAGATCCTTTGTTGGTAACCAGTTTAAAAAACATCTCCAACCAAACACCTTAATTCTGAACGGAAATTTTGTTTTCCATAGAATATTGAAACAGTTGAAACTAACATGTAGGACCTTGATTATGCAGACCCGCACATAACAGACCATAACCAAATTTCGCAGAGTAAGCAACCGAAGCATCATTCTTCCAAAGCAAGTTGTCTGGAGCATCCTTAATGGGTGAAATGATAGCTAATTTGTCCATCAGATCCTGCAAACAAGGAAACACATTCAACAGAGAAGACGCAGAAATACCGAGATCGCCCCAGATCCACGAATCTCCAAACCACACGCCCATGTCTTCAAACATTTCCTTCTTTATAGAACTGCATCGAAATAGATCCGGGTAAACAGTTTGAAGGCTCTCTTCTCCCAACCAAACCGCAGACCAAAAAGGAATCGAAGAACTGCCTCCCAATTTGTAACTGCAGTTCTCCTTAAAAACATCCATTTGACTGTTATTATCCAGAGAACATAAAATTTTCCACCATATGGAGTAGTGTTTGAGCACTCTACAGTAGTTCGAGGTAGTGAAGTAATAGGTCATCGAATCGTATCTCATGTTAAGGATATCCAACCACAAAGTTTTTTCCCTTCCAATATTCTCCATCTCCATTTCAAAAGTAAAGAAGTGTTGAACTCCTCTACCCTCTTCATGCCAAGTCCACCTTTTCCAAGGGGAAAACACAAGTTTTCCTAAGACACCCAATGAATTTTTCTAACACTCTCTATCCCTTCTAAAGAAAATTATTCTGCATCTTCGTGATTTCTTTGCAAACTGTAACAAGGGTTTTGTAAAAGGAAAGAATGAAAATTGGAAGACTGCTCCATACCGACCTTAACAACGTAATGCGCCTGTCAAGATTTAACATTCTGCCTTTCCAGTTAGATAGCTTCACCTTCATCTTCTTAATCAAAAACTCCCAAGCTCAAACCTTCAAAGACTTAAGACCGATAGGCACTCCGAGAAAGTTAAATTCCGCACCTTCGATTCTGCAAGACAAGAAATTTGCAGCAACTTCCAAGAAGTGAATAGAAATGTTAATTCCAATAAGTTTACTCTTCGAAAAATTCACACCCATCCCGGAGATGACTTCGAAACCTCTAAGAATTGATTTCAAAGCCCAAACTTCTTTCCAAGAACCTTCACCAATTAATAATGTGTCGTCGGCAAATTGAAGAATCTCCACACTCAACCTGACAACAGGAAACTTGCAGCTACTTATACTATATACCCGTAGGGGTATATATATTGAAAATAAAAATCAGAAGCACCTTTCTTCTTTTTATGACAGAAGGACTACTTTTTATTTCACTCTTGCTTCTTCTCAAATGAGAATACAACTAAGTCTTTATATAGACCCAATACTCTACTATTCTAGGAATTAAAATGCAATTCAATTCTTATTAATACACCATTAACCTCTAGGCTTTTCATAACTGACATCTCTTGGCCTTTCATAACTGACATCTAAAATTAAAACTCCCTTAAAATAACATATAAGGTTTATTCAACAAATCTCCCCTGTAAACTTAAATGTTCTACCATCTGTCATGCCTATTAATTTCTTTTTTATGTCAAAAACTTCTTTCGATAAGGGTTTTGTGAAAATATCTGCTGCTTGATCC